TGGCTCTCTGGAGATTGACATAAATGCCCAGAAAAGATGGCAAGATCAGATGGAACATATTGCTGTAATCTGCTGGGATGGTTTCCAAGGAAAACTTGATTGTTTTACATAATCCTGTCAAAATGCCTCCTAAAGTAAAGTAGGAATGTAGTTAAAGTGATTTTTCTGATGTCAGTCTCTCCCTATTTAAGCTATCCTTGCCTTTTTGTATCGCTCTTGAGCTAACATCTACCCCATCTGTTTTTTGACTCTGAGATGTTGTTTACACTTACACAACTGCATTTTAATTTTGATGTCAGATCTTACTGGCAAGTGCTTATGTGTATGGAATAACTCTAGCCCTTCAAGAGGGGAACTGTAAGATATCAGAGATACTGCCAGGATAAATGCACCTGCAGTGAAATTTCCCAGCCTCCAGACTGTGATAAACGATGCCTCCTTCTAAGTTTTTGATGCTAGGAGAAATCTTGGGGTTATATTAAATTGTACCTTGTTAAAAATATTTTTTTATTACACTTCAAAGGCTGTGAGTGTCTCCTGCCAGGAGATGTTTAGAATAAATAATGCTTAGCCCTCTAGCACTGCCTCATGACTGTCCTGGATGGAGATTAAAGCATTTGAAATCTGAATACTCCCCTTGTGCCACCCCTGCTGCCCCTCCCCGAGTGTGAAATGCCAGGTTTGCTCTGGATGCAGCCTGGATGGAGACAGCAGCCAGGAGGTGTCAGGATTCCTGGGGCACCTTGCAGCTGCCTCAGAGGAGCAGGATGTGCAACACAGCCAGGAGACAGCTCTGCTGTCTGTGCAGTGTCCCCTCGGAGGGCATTCAGCCATCAAATGTCATAATTCAGTGACACTTAAATGCATCAAGCAATTACCTTATTTTCCCATTTATTTATGATTTTTGTTTCTATAGTTTTTTTATGGAAAATCAGTTTTATACTTTTTTCTCTAAATGAAAAAAACATATGAGATCTTTGTGTGATGCTTGGGTTACCCAATAATTGTACTCTACCCACAGCAGTTAATATGCTTTGCTTCTCTACCTGCAGCCAAGTAGGACAGAGGAGGTTGTACAGGGAGCTCCTTGAGAGCAGCATAAACTGTTCAATAAATTTAATTTGTCTGCAGAATTTGTGATTTATTGTGTTGTTAGGAAAGATCAAGAAGTATGATTCTGTGTTTGAGTGACAGAAATGGCTGTATACTGTAAGGGAGATACAAACTGTACTTGCAGGAAATATGGGTGTGTAAATACTGGGGAATTCATGTTGGGGAACACTCTTGGATGACCAAGAAAACTCCCTATACTGTTTAAATTTCAATTTTGAAGTTGTATTTTTTAGCTTTTGGTTGTAAACCAACCAAGGTGGCAGTTGATTTGGAGGACAACATTGTGAATTATGTTTCTGCTGGCAAAATGCAATTTCCTTGCAAGAGTGAGACGCTTAAAAATGAATGAAGGCTGCTAAAAGTACTAGCTTTGCAGTCCCCCTTTATTCATAAATAATCAAAAATAGTATTTTGATTTGCATTGGCAAGACATCAGTTCAACAGAGCAATGTTTTGGAATCTGAGTGTTTAGAGGTAGGTGGCATAGATCATATCCAAACAGCTCTGTGGCTTTTTTTTTTCCTTTTTAAGATTAAATTTTGGTCACTTTAAATATACAGTTTTAAATCTCTGGCTCAAATATAGGAAGCAAGGGGAAAATGTTGTTGTGTTTGCTTTTAAAATTCCTTACATGATATCCAGCAATGATATTCTGTAATTCAGCCCAATATAAGCTTTGTTAAGAATCCTCTACAGCAAAGTTGGTCAAGAGCTAACCTGGAAGGTTTTTATGCTGTTCTTTTATAGCAGGGACAAAGCATTAGAAATGTAGTCTGGTCTAGCTGTTCTTAGCCAGTAATACCTTTAAAATAGGATATATTGTTATTACTTCCATTACCATGGCCATGAAGGTAAATAAACCTCACCCTTTTTAAAAAAGAAGCCAAACAATAACCCCATAACACCACTCACCCAAAGACCCCACTGAAACCATGGTAAAGCTTAAAGAGAAGGTATGAGCAGAAAAGCCCCTAATTGTATGGATGAGATTAACTGGTAATTAAAAAGCTAAAAAATTTGAGTTAAGGGTGGATTAATTAGCTAAAACACCAGGAAATCTAATTTGCTCAGCCATTTATTTTAAATTATTTATTTTTATTCCAAGAAGATTTTATGGTGGCTTCTATGAAGCTCATAGGAGCCCAGTCAGATTTAACTATATTCCTATGAAATGTAACAATACTCCTACATTTTATCTCTTATAATTTATTTATAAATGAAAGTACAATTAAGATCTGAAGAGAGTCAGATCAAGACTATCTCCTTGGCAGTTTTGGTGCATTAAACCTGAAACTGCAGAAGGATGCAGAGTTTCAGGTCTCATCCCTGAAATACAGCTGGTTACCTAAAGCAATGTATTTTCATAGTTCCCTCCCACTTGTAAAAAGTGCACTTCTCTGTTCATGACATTTGAGCTGTCCTTTTACCACTGGGTAATTCTTAATTCTTTACAAAACATGGACAGGATGCAAATGCAGCTGCCCTGTCTGGTTAAATACACTTTGAAAGCTAATTATTGTCTTAAGCACCTTTCTTAACAGACACTTCTAGAAAATCCAAATATCCAAAATTAAAATTGCATGGAGTGAAACAGGGTACCAGTGAAGACTCTGCTGATAACCAGATTTGTGTGGGATTAGCTGAAGCTGTGCAATAGCCAGGAGCTTTGTAACGTGGCTGCACAGGCAGAGTTTTATTGAGTGTCCCTGTATGACTGGAAATGATTTTAATGCCCTGTGTAAACAGTCAGACCCAGCATTGATTCAGCTTTGTCTTATTTTATGGAAGTACACGAAGAGTGAGAACTTGCAGGCCTGCTGCATGTCTGCAGGGGTTTTGCAGGCTGCTGCTGGAGAAGGGGTTGGTCACTTCTCCCCATCTATCACCCAGCAGGACTTGGGGATATATGTATTTATCTATATATGTATACATGTATATATATATATATCCTGGATGTGCCCAAGGCCAGAGCCCACACCCCAGCCTGGGAGCCCCCACTGTTATTTCATCTCTTCACTCTGCACTGGAATTTAAAAACAGGGACTCAAGCAGATCTATGTGTGATTAGGACTGGATTTTTTGTTTGTTTGCTGTTTGTTTGGTTTTTTTGGGTTTTTTTTTCGTGGAGAAGAAATTTGCTGATTTTTTTTGAGGCTGCAGATCCCTTAAACTTGGGTTGCATCTTTTTCAGACATAATCCAGTGTGCCATAAGTGGCAGAAAACTTTTCAGGAATGTTGGTTGTTAAACTTTTGAAATGGGTATTTGCAATTAGGCTGTTCTTAAACTTCTGATCTTGAAAAATCCTTCAGAGCTTGATCTGAAAAGGGAATTTACATTTTTATTCCTTTAAAAAGTCTTAACATTCTACTTTTTACATGAGTAAAATGAATGTCTAATATATATATATATATATATATTGGTTGATACCAACCCAATATATACATTATTCATGCAGATCTGCATCTCCAGATAATTATAAGGAACATCCTGAGGAACATCAGAGGTTTTTGTGCTGGTGTAGGGAAGTGACTCATGCTGCAAGAAAAGCTCCTCATGTTTTAGCCTGTGGAGAATGATACCCTAGAAAGGGCTTGCATGAGCAAAGAACAAACTGTTGTAAGTGAACTTTATTGAAAAAGGAAATTTCTGTTCTTCCAGAAAAATCTGCTTCTGTAGGTCTGCTCTCAGATTTTGTTATTGAAACTGCAGATAAAATCTTATGTACAGCAGTTTGATTCAAGCTGATAAATGTAAATCAAAGGTTAAAAAAAACCTGTTAAAAATATTTAAGGGAGGATGTGGAAGGGAAAATAGAAGCAAAAGGGGAGAGTCCTTGAGTGGTGGGTGGTACAAGCAATGATTTTTGTTTTAGGAAAGGAACAGTTGTAAGCAGAACTTTTGAAATGTGTGTAACTTTTAATAAGGATACATAAAACCTAAAAGCTCTTGGGAAATATCAGTTCTATAAGTAGAAGGATTTAATTAAAGTCCATCTACATTGCTTTGTTGGAAAAACCCCTAGGCAAGCCAAGAGCTTTCTCCTGAGATTGTAAGTTTGGATAAAATTGCATTAATTTAACTTCCCTAACCTGTTTAAAGGTACTTGATTTAGAAATCTACAGAGTTTTGATCCTGAAGCACACGGATAAGAATGGGCAAACAGAAATCTCAAAGGCAGATGCCAACAGGACATCACCTGCTTGGTCCAGAGTTGTGTTGGTTCTTCCAGGACCTGACCAGTGACATTTATTCAGTGATCACAAAGCAACTTAAAAGCTCAACATTGTTTGGGTGTGACAGATGAGCTGTGCTAAATAAAGCCTGATTTTTGTCACATGCAGGGCAGTCTAGGACATGGGCTGTGGGAGATGTTGAGTGAAATGTATAACCTGGGGGAAAAAAACATCCAGTAGGGACTCATGGAAGGGGAATATCCTGGACAGTCAGGAGAAGTGTCAGGAGCAATAGGAACGTGTGGCACTCTGAGCAATGATGAGCAGAAATTTGGGGCACAAGAGGCAAACATCTGTTGCAGACTGTCCTGGAGACTTTTAAAATGGAAGTTGCAAAATTTTAGGGTTTGGAAAAAAAAATCCTAAAATGCTTCAGAGGTTTCAGAATGTGTCTTCAAGTGAAAAACATATGAATTCAATCCACTTAGTGTATAAAAAGAAGACTGAAATGTTGACTGAAAGAACATGAATTCTGCTAATGGTAACAAAGATCAGTTGACAGCTCTTTTTTTTAATGGAATGGGACCCAACCCACACCAGATTCAGGTGTGATGGATCTCCAGGTGCTCTCCAGGTCAGCAGTACTTGTTGAGTGTCTTTTACCAATTGTCTTTACAAATCTCATGATATTCTGGTCTTTACCTGAAGCAGTAAATAGCAATCAGGTGTTGGTCTAATAGAAATATTTACCCAAGGTTAGCCAAGTCTGTTGATGCAGAATGTCTACAGTGCCTGCTAGTCTGCTCTATTTGTCCAGTTTGGACTGGAATTTTCCTTTTTCAGCAGCTTAGATCCTCTGCAGCATTCAGAGATTAATTTTCATGCCCTCCCAGCCTCTGACCAGGTGTTACCTTGCTCCTCTTGATTGAAATCCTGCCTGGGTTGAGCTCAGTGCATCTCCCACCCTCTGTGGAGTTACCTGCTGTTTCTACATTTGAAGGTGTGTAACTTTGCTGGTCAATATTTCTATTCCTGTCTGCAGACTTTTAATTGCACCTTTGATTCCTCAGCCTTCCCAGCTGGGTGCCTGGTCTCTGTGGCTCAGATCTGCACTCTTTTGCCCTTTTGCTCCTCCAGCTCATCAGTTTGCTCCAGTTCAGTGGCCTCTGTGGGTGAGCATCTACAGCAGAGGCCTTTGTTGTGATATCCAGGCATCTCCTCTTGCCAGCCATGGAGTGTTTGGGTTAGAAGGTATTTTATAATAATGTTTTGGGGTTTTCTTTTCTCCTAATAACCCTCTGATCTACCTGCTAGCATTTCTGTCCTGCTGCTCCTGGTCTGTGAATGCTGTGTGAGTCAATTCTTTTGTGCACATCTGTATCACAAAGCCTCTTGTCCACGCCAATCCTTTCAGGAGCTGCTGGTACCTACAAAAACACAAATCCCAGCTACACTTTTGTGCCACAGAGACCACTGAGATTCCTTTTGCCCTTTACCAACAGAGTGCATGTTTTAATCCATTCTCTTCTGTAAACATTTTAGGCACTAAGCTTATTGCTGTATCCAGAACTCCTGGTTCTTCAGACTGATTTGACTGCAGCCTTGTCCTGCCTGGCTGTGGGTGTGAATGTGCTGTGTGCATCCTCAGGTGCATGACCTGAGTCAGTCTCCTGAAGCCTCAGTTCAGAAACTGATGTGTTTTACCCTGTAGTAATGGATTGCTCCAATTCCCTTGTGTGCATGTATTAAAGCAGCCCTGAGCAGGGAGAAGTGGGCAGAGCTGGAAACTGCAGCACCAAACTTCTTCCCAACTGGGACTGGTTTGCTAATAGAATTAATAAGCTCCTTTGCTCGTTCTGATTTCGGTTTACTCCAGTAATGGCATAGATTGGATGGAAAGGCAACTGGTAATTAGCAAGTTTACTGACCACTGCAGCACGTTAAGTATTTGTAATTAATTGCAATACTGCTGCTGCCATGTGCATTTTGGGAAAAACCCAGATGTTGCCCATGTCACCAGGTAGATTGGATGACTTTGGTTTTGGTTTGGGGCTTTTTTTTTTTTTTTTTTAAATTGGGTCTGTGGTGCTTTGGCAGCACTTTCAACACTGACAGGCAGGCTGAATCCTGAGTTATGAAGAAACTTTGGCTTAATGTTTTCAGTAAACATGAGCCTCAGGTTTTTTTTTTTTTTTTTTGTTATGAAATCTAGATGACTTTCTGATAGTTTTTAATTGTTTCAAATACGTTTTTTTAGTTTCAGAGAAGACTGTAACTGACTTGGAACTCCTACCAAACTCTGGCAGAACCTTGCTGGGAGGGAAAGCTCATTTCTATTTACAATGTGCAAAGCTGTGTGTTGTCTTACCTGAATTTAAAGAAAGAACTTTGGTCTTACTCCCCTGTCTAAGAATGCTTCTCTGTCTTTACTGGTTCACTAAAAAATACTGTCAATGCTGGAAAATAGGCTAAACTAAATGAAGAGCTACCAGTACTCAGGCTTAGCTTATTATGGTGATTCTTTGTTTACTAATTGCCAATATTTCTGCAAAACACTTGTAATGGGTATTTCTGTGGCCAGATTGAGAGACAGGATATGCTCAGGAGCCTCTGCTGAAATTACATAATAATAGCATTTATCAGCTTTTCTACAGGTTGGCAAAGCAACCAGAACAGAGCTACTGCAATGAGACCAAGCTAAGATACCCTGCAGAGATGCTGAAATGATCATTTCAGAGCAGCTTTCACTGCAGCCTTTTCCTTAGAGGTGACTGAAGGACAAAAGTGGAGACTGGCAGGAGGAGAGAGCAGCCTGAGCACCAAGCCATAAAGTGTCCTGAGAGATATTTGGAGGACTAAGACTTGAGGCTGTCACTGCAGGTTTCCTTTCCTACAGCTACTGCCCTGCACCTATCACACAGCAGATAAAGAGCTGCTGGGGGCACAGGCTCTGTCCTGGTTCTGTGCAGGGCTTGATGTAAACCAAGCTGGGTTTCCTGTCATGAAGAGCTTCACCACTAAAGATTCTGCATAATTAATAGACCCCAAGAGTAAGAATCAGATGTTTCCTCTACCTACAGTTTTAAGTTGTGTGCACTAAAAGAAATGCAGAAGTTTACTCTGAATTGAAGACACTTGTTTCTGAATGTCTACCCACAAGAAGATTTTATCTGTGCATTTGTGTCCCATATTTAATATTAGGTTTTTATAGAAATAGGTGTTACAAATATTTTCAAGTAATCCCATTTTATTGTTAGAGTAGGTAGGGTAAAATCTGCAAAAGGTACGTGGGAGAACATGGGCAAAAGCCATTTGTCAGGCTTCTGGGCTCATTTTCTGTTAGTTTGCTTCCTTTCATTTGATATGAAAGTGGTGTAAAGTGCAAAAGAATCAGATCCATTTAGGGAAACCAAACACATTCTTCATGTTGGCCTCTGGGACAAAGAAATCATTTTCTTTGAGCAGAGAGAAAACTCAAAAGTTCTGTCAAGTCCTACACTAAGAATTTCGAGCATTCTTGTTCAGTTATCCTACTTTTGCTTGGGAGCTGATTTTGGCTTCATGTGCTTGTAATTGAAATTTGATGTTGTTCATATTATAATATCGTTGGTATGCAAAATGGCACACACTGACTGTTTGATTTGTAAATGGCTGCTTTAAAATGGATGATCTTGAATATTAATGAAGCAGGCTTTCAAACAAATTGCCATTTTCTTCTCCTTCTCCCGTCCCTTTTTTTATGTAGGTACAAAGGGTTCGACAGTATGGAAATTATGAAAATAATTCATTAACTATTTGAAAAGCAACATCTCAGCTCTGTGTGTGTTTATATATACTGTCATTCACCATCTACTCCATATAATATTCTCTGTCTTGGTTTCAGTAGGTGTTCATTATTAATTTTTATCATAACTTAGTCAAAAGACTGTGGTTCCCTTCATCAGATGCTTTTGAACTGATGAGACCATTGCTGCTCCTGTTCTAACTACAGGGGCATCTCAAGTGATGTTATGTGCAGTGCAAGCCTTTTATCAAAGCAGGATACAACACTTCTTCACAGCTACATTAAAGTTGCCTTCATACTTAAACTGAACATTCAGTTCATCCTGTGCACCCTGTTCTGTAGAGCAGATTTGTTTCATTCCACATTGATTTATATTTTCAGAAATCTGTATTCCAGCCCTGAAGATTAGAAACTGAATTGCAATGAACTTCTTCAAAAAGTCTGAATTCTGTCATGTAATGAAGTAAAAGAAAAAAATGAAGTAGAACTTGTTTAAAAGCAAATTATGAAATATCCAACAAGGCATAAAAATGAAAAAATCAGCACAGCAAATGGCTTTTAACTCCTGGATGGATTTCAGTAGACTGTCCTAAGCAGACCCAGTGTTGCTTTGACTGTAAATCCAGGTGTGAGATCTAAGGATGTCATTCTGAGAACCTTTGTGAGCTGGTTGGCTTTTCTTGGGGCACTGAAAGTGTTATGTACTTACAAGTGCCTGTAAGACTTATGGAAGTGGATTTTTTGACTATTGCTGGACTTTCAACATTATTATTTTGACCTCATCTCACAGAATATAAGCTTCTGACCTGAGGATTCTGAGTGTCATGCAATTAGATGCAATTGAAAATCAGTAATGTCTGAATAAGTGATGTTGAAAAAATATTATCAAACATCCAATCAGATGATGAAATCATACACTGTGCTAAGCAGGAGGAGGGGAGGCCATTATCAGCAAAAGTTGTGCAGCTTTCAAAGAGAACAGATGCCCAAAGACAAAGTTGATAATAAAACCAGAAGCATCCCAATCTATGTAATTTATTCACTTTACTAAGCTCTTGATCCAATTTGCCATATGCTACGGGATATAAATTTCGAGTATATGTTCTGTTTTCTCTTATGCACTTATCATTACACAAAAATATGAAAAACTTCACCAGGAGAATGTTAAGGATCTGGTGAGAGCAAGGACATTCCAGAAGTTCCTCCTTTGATTATAACATGGCTCACTGAGCCTGAATTTGGCAGCTTGGGTTGGTGGGGTGTTGTAATTGTTAATTGTTAATAAATTTTGATGGTAACAACTCTCTTGACCCTGAGAGCAGCAAAAGGAAAAGGAGGCTGGGATCTGAACCGACAATTTGCTTTTCCTGGTGAAAGCTCTATGGGGAAGCCAGAGAAACAGGGTGAAATATTGGCTCCCACTGTTTTCCCTGGGCTTGCCTGCATGTGAAGGTGGGCAGTGGTTCTGGATCTGTGTGGCTGTGGTGGGAGGTGGCAGAGCTGATGCACCCACTGAGCTATAGAGGGAAGTTTGTGGCCATAAATAAACATTCTTGACTAGGAAGTCTGGAATCACAGAAGCAGTAGGAGTTTTGGGTAGTATCCTGTTCTGTCAGCTGAGTTAGCCTGCACTTACTAGACCTCTGCAAATCTGCTCTATCCAGATATCCTCTGCTTCACTACCAGGGATGTTTCTCATCTGCAAATAAATATTTCTAGACTGTAATTCTCCAAATGCTAACTGGGGACAGCAGAATTGCTTTGTGTTTCATGTCCTGAAGAGACCTGCCTGTCACGGGTTTTTTGGAATATGGGAAAATCATGTAGGAATGGCAGGGAGCTAGAAGCTAATAGTGAAACTTGTTTATTTTCAAAGAATAACAGAACACTCACTTAAAGTCAGACAATCTAGAGATGTGTTCAGAATGCATAATTCAGCAAACACTAAGGAATGAGACTTGAAATATGAAGAAACAAAGCCTGGAGTTAAGTTAAATATCCAATTAAGCTATCTGCTTGGCTGCAAAACATCATCCTGACAGACAATTTGTTCTGGGCAAGTCAAACATTTCAGCTATGAATTTATACAGGGCAATTAAAGAAACTAATCTATATTTGATGTGAAGAAGTGGTAAATTGGAAAGCTTTGGAATTAATATGGAAGTTTAGACTGTGTGGACTTCCCTGCAGTCTTGCCACAGTGTGGGGAAGGAAGTACTGATTTTCTAGATGGTCCTGTAGTACCATTCTAGCAGGACAGTGCTACTGATTTCTGATTAATACTGGAGGTGCTGAGTGCCAACTCAATTTTAATAGCCAGACACAAAAGAAGCATGCACAAGGTTACAGATAATATGTGGCATAGACTTGCAAATTGTAGGATTGCTTCTGGCTCTCAGATGTGCTGCTCAGTTGGTGGCTGGACCCTGCTGGCAGTGCTGAAATCAGCAGCAGCATCTTCCCCCTGCAGCAGGGCCAGCTGGGGCTCCCCAGCAGTGTGGGGCAATTTGGATTTTACCAACCCAAGGCTGATTATCTGTGGCTGGCCCAGGGCTGCTTCTGCCCAAATGAGAAGAGCAAAGGGAAAGATTGTGCTGAGGGGGCATCCCAGAGCTACCTGTGAACCTCCAGCTGCTTCTAAAGGAAGCAGGAACAAGAAACAATTGGAAGAATGAGAAATGACAGTATCTGTTTCTGTAGGACTAATTTCAAAAATTTGGAACTTATCAAATGTTCAGCCTGAATGCATATGTTACTGCTGTTGCATTTGCATGCTAAGTGTTACAGAATGCTCCTAACTTTCTCTTGAAAAAATGTCTGTTATTAATTTTTATGAGATTACTGTTTATATGAGGACTCTATAGAACTGAGAGCCTATTGGTTCTTTCAAGTATTGTTTCCTTCTGCTTCATTTGACTCCTCTTTCACTTAAGAAACTGCTCTTGATTCCTCAACTTCTAGTGAATAAAAATTTTGCATATATGGGAAATTCAGGGCATGGCCTCCCTGTCTAAGCTGTAAAATACATGGTACAGCATTATTCCTAGTACATAAATAACTAGGCTTCCTCTCTCTTCCCCCCTGCCCCTACTTTTGCTCCATGGGTTTTACTTTCACCAACCTGTTCCATTCCTTATCCCTGCAATGCCAGAAACACTGAGAATGTTGAAAAGGCTATGATATTTCTACAGATAATATTATCTTATTGTTCACTTGTGTTCCTGGAAGCAAACCTTCCACCCTGACTCCCTCTCCTCAAATATATCCTGATCCTAAAAATGGATTTTAGCCTTTTGAGGTGTGGAGAACTGCATTTGTGCTGATAACTTGTCGATATGGCAGGTTTAAGTTTAATACAAGCTGGAATTGCTGTGCTCTATGAAGGTCTTGAAAAGCAGAATTTATAATGGAAGTGGCAACTGACCAATAGGTAGAGAGGTTATTGAGGTATTGCTATAATAAATTATTTTGACTTTATGAAACGGTGACATAAAGAAAGCCCATTTGGTTTTAGAGCATAATTATCCCACTATTCTACTCTCTAAATTTTGTTTTACTGCTTTCTCCTAAAATAAATTTTATTACAACCATAAGCATATCAAGCCATAAAGCAGTCTGTCCCACGGGCAAGTGTTTGCAGTTAGGGTGTGAGCTCTGTGTGTGTAAGACAAGCCTTATATTATGTGACATGTGCAGGGACCATAAACTGCACCAGTGCCTGAAAACCTTAATGTACCACCATAATCACAGTTCAAAAGTCTGTAGAGGTTTCCCCATTAAACCATTGCTGAACAAGCATATTCAGTACATGGAGCACAGCTGGAAGACCTATTTCCTTAGAGTTTGGGAAAGGAAAACAAATAACTGTGGGGTGTTTTTTTCTTTTTAGTTCACTGAATTAATGAACTAAATGGTTCTGTGAAGTTGCATCCACAGTTCCTTGAAACAGCATGTTTAATATTTTATTCTGGACTGGCAGTGACCTGAAGACCTGAAGTCCTTTGGAACTATTCATGGCATTCAAGTTGCTGGTGCTTATCCTTCGTGCAGCACCGCACGGGTCGGGGTCCGTGAGCTGTTGTTTCCACTGTCTCCTGCTCAGGTGGGGCTGCTCCCCTTGGGTTTGGAGGGGTCACACTGCTAAATCAAAGCAGATGCCAAACATCCAGATAGGCAGGTGGTCAGGGGGTGAACCTGGTGCTGTAAAGATGCAGATCTATGTTTTGTTGTAACTTGAAAATGGCATGTTGGCTGAGGAAATATTTTCGGTTCCTGTGCACATTGCAGCAGAAATATTACCCATTTTTGAGAAAATTTATAGGTATTGTAACTTGTTTAGTCAATATGAATCTTCATCTGGTTTCCTGATTTTTAGCTGTGTTTTTCTTTAATAGTTCTGGTTTAAGAGCTGAAGGTGCCAGCAAGGGTTGAATCCCTATGGTGACTGGAGATGTGCCATTAGCAAACACTGCTTGTCACTTCTTTCTGTTTATTAATTTCTGACTCATTGGAATAATCTCTCTGTGGGTAAGGATCATTTCAAAACAATAAAGATGGGCAATAATTTGCTTGGAAGACTTAGCCTAGTTATGTTCATGCAAGCAGGGAATGCCAGATAAAGAATAATAAGGCTCTGCTGTAACAAGATGCTGAAGTTCATGATTAGCTTGGCCACACAAGAGCTCTCAGGTGCACTCCCAGCCCAGCTCTGCCCAGGACAGCCTCTGCTTGCCATCAGGCCCCGAGCCCTGCAGTCTTCATGTGCCTTTGTGCTCAGGATGATTTTAATTATTGCTTTCCCCACTAGGCTCTGCCTGGGGAAAATATTAGTATTAAATGTTATTTTGCAGCAGGCACCTTCTCAGTCTGCCCAATTTTCTTTCTAAGGTGATAAGAGTGGTGTTAATCTCTGGCTCCTCCAGGGCTCCAGTCCCCAAATACTCCTCCCTTAGATCTCGTTTTCTGTGGCATACATGAAGCAGGTAGAAAAAAGGAAAGAGATATCAGTGATGCCAGCTGTCTCCTGGGTGTGATGGAACACACTTCAGAGCTCTTCCCCTCCCCCTGATCTCCAAAGGTATCAATTAAGGGACAAATCATAGGCAACTCCTGTACTGCACCATCTACAGAAATAACTTATACCTGTGAAAAATATTTATTCACTGTTCTGGTGATTATGAATTCATGTTGTGATGGATTCTATGCACCTGAGAAGGAGTTGAAGTACACTGATATTAACTGTATATTTAAAGGCACTATTAATAACAAGCAGTAAAATCTTTGCAACTCACAAAAAAAAAAAAAAAAAAGGGAGAGGACTGAGGTGTTATGGAATATCTATCACCTAAAGAAGATAAACCCTCTTCCCTCTTTATTTACATATCAATAGATTCTACCTAAAGCTTGTTTGCTCAAGTTAATTCCTGTGAGGTGGGAGAGAACTAACAGGCTGCATGTGGACCACCTCACAAGGCAAATACATTATTCATGGTGGGGTATTGACTTGTGTACTACATTGCATGTGCTCTGCCTTAAATCTGGAAAGGCATCATTTATCAGCTTGACATTTTCTAAACCTTACCAAGCACTCCTGGGCTTTAGCTGGGCATTTGACCTTGCCAGCATTCCTGCCTTTCTTTATCAGGAAGATTGTGTTTGAAAGGGGTAATCTGTAAAGGTAGCCTTTAATGATTAATGTCATGAAAAAAAAAAAAATAAGGGAAGATTCTAGGGAATACGTTCAACATTTTTCAATTAGAGAACTGGTAACATTTTAATTAAATATCAGAAAGTTGGTCGATTAGATGTTATCCCTTTCAAAGACGTTAGGTTTCCCCTCCCTGCACTCCCTGCTTTCACAGGTTAATCTAGGGAAATTGGTCTTTCCTGGGAATTAAAGTGAATGCACCGCTGGCAACATTTTCACAAATTCAGTAGTGGTGAAAATAGTGAATTCCCAGCTTGGATCTGCCTTGTTCAGTTCAGGCAGGTGATGCAGCCTGCTCACCTGAGGACAGCTTTGGGAAACTGGAACGTGGGGGAGAGAGGCCAGAGACAGAGGGAACATCATCCTGCTGAAAACCCACCCCTTCAAGTTATGTTGGCTCCCTCCTGCAGCAATCCTGGCTACTGGAAATGAGTGTGAGCTGGAATGCTTCCAGGAAAGATCCTTCACATCCTGCATTGTGCCCTGTCTGGAAGGAAGCATTTTGTGTGAAGACCTCAAAATTTATCAGGATCCAGATGGAATTTGGGGAAGGAAGGTATAGTTACCCAACTTCCAGATTCTTATACCCCCGTCTTAAACAGCTTCATCCACTGTTTAAAGTGTGTTGTCATCTCTTAATTATTGTAAGAATTAATATGAGAATGAAATTACTTTGATTTTTAATTTTTTTAATACATGCATTTGAACATATGAAGAAAGTTTCCTGCTAGGGCTGTCCTTTTCTCCCTTATGTTTCATGGTTTATCTTGAAACAGAAACATGTCTGATACACAATTGTAACCGAAGCACTGCTTGCTTTTTTTCCCTCCATTTGGTTACTTAAGGGGAAAAGTATGCCAAGATGATCTATTGTGGGCAGTTAAGTAAATCCAGCACCAATTTGTATTCTGCACTTTTATCAGTAGAACATTTCTCATGGCCTTATCAGGGCAATTTAAAAATATGCAAACTATTGTCAGGTTCCATGGAGAAGAACAAAAGGATGGCTGAATAATTCAAAGTGAAGCTCTAGCGGTGGGTCTGTCTCCAGCTCTGCCATTTTTCACCATGCTGTGTATAAATGACTGTCTGCTCAGCCCTAGTCTTAGATGTTGACCTTCCTGTACTGACAAAGAGATTCCTTACTCCTCTGACAGTAACCTTTTCAATGTGATCGCTTCTGTGCCATACAGTATTAATGGAGCCACAATGAATAATAAATGCTTTTCAACACAGCCTGCTTGTTTCAATTAGATCATTGGATTTCCCAGGAGTGGCTCCCATTTATTGTCAGGTGTGATGTAGATACTCCTGCTGGCGAGTACAGCCTGCTGTTGAAGAAGAAAAAGTAAATGGCTTTGCTTGAACATCAAAGGATACTGTGTGACAGATAATAAAGACTTTCATGGATTGATGCTTGCCATGCAGATATACCTTTGTATGGTGGAGTATGTGAAACAGAGCAGGGATTTTGGACCAAATATATGTGGAATCTCCAGCTGAACAGTGCTAACCTTTGTGCAAGGTAGCTTGGATCTGAACCTCTAGCATGTATTGAAGATGAATAAACACAGAGTTGTATTTTTTTACTTTTTAGCACTGCAATGATCATTTCAGTAGATAGGACTAATCTGATATTTGAAGTGGTCAGGAACTAAAAAGCATTCATAACACTTTTCCAGCTATAAAAAAAAAGATTTTCCCGAAGTCTTTCTATAAACCCCAAAAAGCTTCCACCCTTTTTTGACATATTTGAAAGAAGGAGGAAATGAGAAACGTTTTGAGGTCAAAATAAAAAAAATTGAACTAGCATGTAGACTCCAGATAATTTAGAGGGCTGGAGATGCATTAATGGTGCTAAAGCTGTGAGGGAGGGTTATTGTTTCATTGCAGGGCTGGGTTGCCTTGGAGGAGCACATCCCACCAGGCATTTCCTCCAGGGCTTTGCAGAGATTTTGTGCTTCTGGGCAGCTCACTGATCCCAGCACTCCTGCCTGCTGGTGGGGATTCAGCAGGGCTGTAGGTGCAAAGTTGCACAGAACCAAGCAACTCAGATTTAGCTGAAATGGTGGGGGAGGGACTGTCAAACGTTATCCAGCACTTCAGACTCCAAACTGATGTGGCTCCACACCAAAATAAGTGATGCCTGGGAGTATGGGTGCCTTTGCTGTCTGCAGAACAGAATCCCTTGTGATGTTTCCATCAATAAACATTGGGCAGAAGGGTGAAAACCTGTGCATCTCTCACCTAGCTTTAATTATGTTTTGACTTAGATTGAATTATTTATGCATTGCTATTAAACTATGATAAGGGAAAATTTTCTGTCTAGTTTAAGTAGCTGAATGAGCTATGGCCATTTATGACTTTTTTTTTTAGCTGATTAAAAAATCTGACAAACCTCTTAAGTGGGAATTTAAAATGAAGTCCCTGTGCTGATAGTTAAAGTTGTGTATTGTTAAAATCTCCTGCAGGATTCCTGTAGGCATTTCTCATAGGGTAATAAGCAGCCCTGATTCTCCTCCTGTGCAGCAGAACAAAAGCCCTGCTTTTATAGCTTCGTGCAGGGTTTTATGCTTGATAATAACATGAATTTGTTTCCATTGGCGAATTATGTTAGAAGAAAAATCCTGTTTTCTGGTATATCTTGCCTCAATACCTTGGCTGGCTGACTGCCCTGCAGGCTGCCTTGTAGGGCAAGAGAGTCTGCAAATAAACTAATCACGGTATTTTAGTGAATCTAAAATTATTTCTTTTCTTTTTTTTTTCCCCCCTCTCAAAAGTTTCTTGCAAAGGCAGTGTATTGTGGCTCTGTGTGGGGTTTGTTCAGCCTTTTCATGCTTCAGCCAGGGAATTGAATATTTTTTCTATACAGGAGGAAGAGCCATGGTGCTGAGGGCAATGACACAGGCTGGTGGCTGAGCTCCTCTCTTTATCTCCACCCTTCCTGAAGCTTGATTCAACTGAGCAGCAGGTGTCCCAGCGGAGGCAGTGTGACCTGTGTGGCACAGACTGGTGTGTGTGTCTGTACTGCTGGCACCAGCACGCCCTGCTCCTGTCCTGACGCTGCTGTTAAAGGCAGAGAATTTCCCTGAGTTTTGTCAGTGCTCCTGGCAGTTGTTGCTGAGGAACCTCGGGGCATCCCTCACCGTACAGCTCGTCCAGAGCACTGCCAGTGCTGGAAGAGGACGGGGCAGGCAGAGCTTCTCTCTGCACTGCATCTCCTCAGGGGCTCAGCCGAGACTTTGAAAAGCCTCCCTCCTCTTGGAAGCGCCAGGGCAAGCCTTGAGGGGAGTGGGGACAGTGTGGAGGTGGTGTGGAGGGGCTGACACCCAGGCAGGGTCTGAGCAGAGCCCCCGGCCTTCTCCTCCCCACAGGGCCGGGCAGCCTCTGCCTCAGGAGAAGGCACGGCCTGGTTCAGAGCCCCGAGAGCCTCTGCTGCCATTTCCCCCAAGGCTGGCAGCTAAACAGCGTGTTTCAAGAATGTGCTGTGCACTCCTGGAACTTCTGTGAGCCTTACTGAGTGCACTCACTGCATGAGTACACTGAACTGTGCCTCGCACTTTTTTACAGCATCTGTCCTCTATCCCGGCAGATCCTGAATGCTGCTTCTGCACGATAACTTCATTACCTCATGCCATCTTCAGTGTCTGGCTCTTGAGCTTGGAGACATGAGTGAGTGTTTTAAGTGAATATGAATATGTTTAAAGATGAGTATGTTTGAATATGCTTTAACTGAACATGCTACATTTGTGAGTGTAGCTGTGAAAGCACAGATATTCCCCTGCAGGGAAAGGCTGCTGGATCCTGCTCCCTTAGCTGTTGTCCAGTGATTGATCCAGTTAGAGATTATTTTTTTTTTAATGGTTGCAGGACATGATCAGATCACACCACCACATCTTTGCTAACACCTTGTCACTGTGTTGTTGTACGTACCTGTAACCTGTGATGACATCAAATATTCTCACATCCTGCAGGTATGATTCTGCCAAGAAACAAATCCAACAGCCATGGAAACAGCCTGACCACAGCCAAGGCATCCCTGAGCTGCTCCTTAGGAAGGATCAAAGCATGAGTGAGTTCAATCATCCTCAATCTGTGACCTGGGTATGTTTTAGTGGAACAGCTCCTGGCTGAACACAAAACTAACTCTGAAGGATCCAAGGATCCACAAGGATAACAGAAGACACACTTGGCATGTGATTTCCCTTTCAGTGAGACCAGGGCTGAAGTGATTGACATTAACTTATTGCTCTCCAGAAAGGTGTCTTAATTAAATTTACACTGAAAATTTTACAAAAGAAAAAAAAAAAAATAGGAGCAGAGAATGGTTTGAATTTTGTTTCATCTTTGTCATCACTCTTCTTCTTTCCATGTGTTTACTTATGACTATTCTTTTCTTTCTGGAATTTCTCCCAAATTCACTTTAGCCTATGAAATTTGTCAACATTTACTCAAAGGGGTGATGCAGCTTTACTGGGAGGAAGGGAAGCGCCAGGGTTGTTTGCAAGGTTGTTTTTGAACCAACCAGCCTTCTGTTTCTGTAATGAAAAAAAACAACAACCAAACAAAAATAAAATCCGAAATGGAGCGGCTTTAATTATGTTGCACATAGTAATTTGGCAGGGAAATAATTTTGAGGAAAAATCTACTCCCAGAGTGCCAGTGAGCCAAAAAAACAGGTAATGAAGAAAGAAGATTAAAAATGAGCATTGTTGTGAACATTCTTCAGCTCCTGCATGACAAAAACCAAAGTGATGAAATATAGATATACAAGCAGGTGAAGGCAGTTCATAGCATCTTTAGGTATACATCAGGCACTCTTTCTGTCATAAATTTTACAGCACCTTTTGCCACTCTGGATATTTAACTTGCAGATGAATTACTTCTGCTTGCATCAAATGCATCATATGTGGATAATATTTATGCAAATCACAAGCTGGTTTATTTTATGGTTAAATATTTGAAATAATGTCTTGGTACGGGTTTGATTTTCTGCCTTTGACTTGACACCATTCTTCTGGGGGAGAGGGTATTGGATGCATTCTGATAAACAATGCTGAAATGACAGATTTAGGCTTTAAATGAAATTGTGTTCCATAAACTGTGAAACAAAGAGTCATAACTTACCCTTAGCTACATACATTTCAGGGAAAATTATCTTTCATGCTTTGATCTACACTGTATCATTTTACTGAGTGGCCTCATGTGCTGTATCAATCAAATCCACTGAAGATGGGTGAGAATCTCATTTAAACTCAGAGAATACAAATCATAGATTCATCTGCCTGGTGGAAAGGAAAATGTTCCATGAATCCCAGCTTCTCCAATTACAACTGAATTATTTTTGTAAAACTCCAGCAAAGAAAACCCTGCAGTCCTGGTTCTCATGTATTTGTCTGTTTGTTTTGACTGCTTATGAGAGCCCTGCTCCAGGGCTGCCTGAGAGCCCTCAGCTCTCGTCCTGAACACCTCCCACCCTCCCTGTCCTTCTCCTGGACACCTGAGCCTGGGAAAAGCTTCAGTTTCCAGCTGCCATCCCAAAAGCCTGGGATGGCAACGCTTCAGTTTCCAGTGGGCTGGGTGTTTTGAGCAGCCTATGCCCCAGGATGGTTGTCATGCCAGGCAGCCACACCACCTCCCTCTGTGCCTGGGGTGTCTTGGAGAGCTCACACCTGGAGGCTGTGTCAGATCAAGTAATTATTATGTGTCAGATCCAGTAATTATTATCACCCACACCCTGAGCAGGGGCTGGATCCACTGATGAGACAGGGGAGGGGAGGAGGCACATGAAGGAGGGATGCTGCCCCTCACCAAACCCGCTTGTTTGCTGGGGAATCCTTCCAGGTGCTGCTGCCAGGGAGCTCACCCCAAGCTCTGCAGCTGAAGGACTGTCCTCAAGGACTGGGCAAGTCCCCCAATAAATGATTTCAAGCTGCCAGTTCCCAAATTGTGATGCATTTGCTACAGTCTCTGCAGAGGGGAAGAAAACAGGAACAAAATTTGGTTCTTAGAACAGTGTTTTAGAGCTGGAGAGATGTGTTGCAGATGGGGAATCTTCATGCAGGGCAATGATTCTCTCTAAATACAGGTCTCTTTTCCAGTAATCACTTATTGTCTCTTGCTTGATATTTGTAGCTAAGGGTGTTGCCAGGGTAGTAAGGCTTCTGATGTGATAAATGTCATGCTGGAACTTCAGCCCCAGGCAAAATGAGATCATAGACTTGAGAGGAAAATACTATTTTTAAAAGCCAAATGTGGTGTGAATAAGTTGGAGGGGAGTTAACTCCTGGGGATGAACTCTGGGAAGCAGGAGCCCTTGCAGAGCTTGTGTCCAACAACCTTTTCCCCTTCTATTTCTTCATCTGAAAAACAGATTTTAAATGGTAGTTGAGAAACGAGAACTTATTTGGAAGAGCTGTGCTAGTTGCATTAGAAAGAAGAAATAAAACTATACCTCATTCCTCTTCCCCCAGGCACTGGTTTTCCTCATCATTATCAGCCCCAGCAGGGCTCCAGGGTGCTGGGCAAGAAAAGGCAGTGATTGTGTTCTGACAAGTGCTTGTGTGTGGTTGTAAACTGATAAAGATGAAAATACAGATCATGTCTGCGTTCTAACAGGGTTTAGGCATCCATCTTCCTGCCACCTACTTTTGTCAACAAGACAACTTGCAAAGGTTATTTAGCCCACTAAGCCTCTGTGTTCAGCTGCTCTGCCTACAATTACCTGCTGAGATGATCTCACAGGAGGTTTTACAGGTGTGGAGGTCTAGATTCTGAAACATTTAATCTGTGTCTCATGGAGTCCCTTCCAGCATCCTCCACCCTCTACTTCACCTTGTCCCAAATTTCCTGGCCATTCCTGATTTGGAAGAGGGAAGGTTTAGAAAAAGAAGTAGAGAAATGTGATTTTGAAGCTGCATGTACTTTTCACCTTTCTGTGTTCTTATTTTAAAATTTTTATCAAATTTACTGCAGTTTTGTGTAGAAGGTGATGCCTGACTGTGATATACCAAATTGGTCACACAGTGTTGGAGCCTGGGATTCTGTAGGCAAGAGACTGGGCTGTAGGAAAGCTGCTCTACTTTTTCTTCCTGCTTCAAATACCATTGCTCTCTTGCACAAGCTTGCTTGTGCCAAGCTCACAAGGACAGGAATGGTGTCTCTCTCTAAGGTGTCTTTCCCCAGTCTGTTCTTAGTGACTCTTCAGTCCCTCATTTCCTTGCTCTAGACACCTGCAGGAGATAAGTGGGACAGTCTGGTCCAGGCTGCTTTGATTCTGCCTACAGGTCCGAGACAGTCTGAAATGCAGACACACATTTTTCATTCTTGAACTTTCCCTTAAGAAGTGCAATTTTTATTTCTCTCAGATTTGTAGTAGCTTTTCCTGCCCATGTCTCTGTCTTGATGTCTTGCTGGGCTCCTGTTCTGTCTCCTGTGGAGCTTGGGAGCTGCTAAAGCAAAGACAAGCCAACAAAATGATCTTGTGGGTTCCCTTCCCTGAGAGCTGTGCTGCCCATTCTCTGCTCACTGCCTGCTGTTAGCTTTAGGTAAAAGTATTTCTGATTAATATCCCTGCAGGTGAATCAGTCCCTAAAACTGCTGTGAAACAGCTATTTTGAAGTGTAGTTTGTGTTGCTTAGGATGCTCTCACGGCTTGGCTTCACTCTGCTCTTTTCATCTGCCTGGCAGGGCAAGGTCTGTGGTTTCAGGAAGACTGACTGAGTGACAGGTGCCCTGCAGGATAAACTGGGCACTGGAATAGTGTGGTACCCCACTGACCTTGCCCCAATCTGTGGAGAAGCTGGTTTAAGGAAAACATACAAGGCTGCTCTTTGACATTTTAAATTAATTAATTAACTAATTTTTGCTTAGGAGAAGGTTTGGAGGGGTTTTCACATTCTCCCTCTATCTCCTGTCCTTGGTTTTGGACTTTCAGGAACAAGGTTGTTCTACCCCTTCTGCTCTATTGTGTTTCCAAATCTAATTTTCTTTTCTTCCTTAGGGTGTAAGGGAGGGCTGTGTGTTGCTAATTAGCAATGGTTCTGAAATTGGCATTAAGCATGTTTGTTAGCAATCTGAAACCTCCAAGAATGTGTCCTTTTCCCCATGTGCCAACATGGGAACACCAGCAGGGACCCTGCCAGCTTTTAGCCTTGTCTTTTTATCCTGGGAGCTCCTGAGGCAGGTGTAAGCTCCTTGCTGAGGACTGTGCAATGCTCAGAGCAAGGAGACCCTGCGCTCTGAGACCTCCAGGTATTTTGTAGCATTTGTAACAAATCCCACAATTTTCACTCTTTCTGGAGGAGGTCAGTTATCATGTCCTCAGTTACCACAGAAAAGCTGTAGCAGCCACAGTGGGGCACATCCCACTGGGACCTGCTGTGGGTACACGTGGATGCAGAAATCCTTTCCTCCTGGTTCTGGCTGCTTGTGCAGGAACCCCAAAATGTGCACACAGCCTATAGCAGCTGTCTGCATTTTGGCATGAGAACATGGATTTCAGAGCTGAGATAGAAATCCCATTTAAAATATACTAGGAGGGGAACATCTGTGAAAAAATCACAAGAACAACTTAAACATCTGCCCCTCTAGAGGGAAATTGCCCATTTTCTCATTTTATTTCAGATAAATCTGAGAGTGCTGCACTGTTTACATATGCAAATACAGATTTGAAATGGAAGAAGTGACTGATTAATTTAGCTCAAACTCTTAACACGTGCATTGTTTTTAATGTTAATTGAACATTTTGTTCACAGGGTTACTGATTTTTGCCACAGCTTAGCCAGTACCTTTAGGTGCTTTTGTACCTAATCTAAACCTCTGTCCTGTTCTGCTTCTGATGTTAAAGAAGTTATGTCTCACAGTCAAGGGAGAAGAAAGGGAAGAACAGAGGAATTCTCAGTCTTGGCACCTGATTGCTGGGCTCTCTTCAGTGGTTACTAATTTAAATACTGTGACTGTTGAAATAACTCTTTGTCATCAGTGCAGATGCTTTCTTGCTCTCATCTGTGCTTAGCTGGGAAAACCTGGACAGCTCTCCCATCATCTGGTGATTTCCAGCCTTGGCTGAATACACAAAGTCATAGTAATTCTGCAACATTTTAAAAGCCATTATCCTCAAGTTTTAAGGGGAATCAATACTAAAGTTTTCAACTTCAGAGTTTTTCCATTAGTTGTAAGTGAACTTGTAACTGGTGCTTGATAATTTTGTCTGTTCAGCTGGATAATGATTATTTTGCACAAACAAAAAGAGGGCTCAAATTTTCATTTAACCTTTCTTTTTTCATTTGTTAGCACTCTATAACTAAAATTCTTTCCTACATATCCCAAGGTGATTTGAAAGTGGGTCACCACAGAGCAAGTGTGTGATTAACTGATGGAAATACTGTGTTGCTGTAGTTCTCTCCTGCGTTTTTAGCAGCAATACATTTACAGGGTTTGGTTGTTTGCTCAGTCTGGGAGGAGACAGAGATTGCTGTGAACAGATGACAGGGTGTCACACTTGGTTTTGTATGTGAAGTACAACGTATTGTTAAAATTATGTCTTTAACC